CGCGGTGGCTTTCAGCGACGAGACGTGAATGCACGTCCCGTCGAGGGGTCCTCCGCCCCCAGAGGCTACCAACCAGCAGAGCGCGCGCTCTGCGTGGCTACGAACTCGGTGAGCAGTGCGCCAACCACAGCGACACCGCTCACACGCGCACGCAGACAGATCCCTCTTCGTCAAGGTGTTCTAGCGAACCCCCTATTAAAACCGCAGCAGCACATGCGAATAGAGTGCAGAGTACTCAGTCGCATTTGTCTCCCCAGTGCTGATATTCAAGCACGAGAAACTGCGCGATGCAATCCCATCTGGGTGTATACATTGTGCAGACGGCAGCGTCAATTCAAGGCATTAACTTTATGCCGAGTCGACCGATCGGCATGGCAAAAATAAGTTCAACAAATACACAGTTACCCAGGGCTCGTGGCGCAGTGCGTTCACCACTCAGCGCCACACACGCAGACGCGCGCGCGCGCATTCGTAACTAAGGAACCCAATAAGTGCATAGGAAAGTCCCCACTGTGGCGGCGTGCTGGTGTAGGTCTAGCCCCCCGCTCGCGGACAGGTCAATACTCCACGCCAGCCGCAATTACTCGACACGAGGCAGTGCCGCTAATCCTGTTTTGGTGCATTACACGCGCCGGTGTCGCTCGCCCCGCATCGCCACCCGAAGCGCCACTCACCACCCCCACTTCATTCACTCCACCGTTCCCGAGCGGCCGCGTGTCGCTATCTCCCATCCCCTTGGCTATGGGATGATCCGCGAACGGCATTGTTGCATCGGGGAACTGAAGGCGGTATCGTGGGAGCTCGAGAGGTCACGCACGAACAAGCGATTTCCTGCTCTCAAAGTGAGCATTCAGAAGGAGCTCATTTCGTGTTCGCAGCACTGAACCAGGGGAGGAGTGATATCCACATTCCCATGGCGGAGGCGAGTCTCAGCGATTATATACAGTGACATAAAGTTGTTTCAGCAGAAAATCTTTGTTTAACACACAAAACAAACCTGCATAGGTAGTGTTCAAGCGTTGAAGGCAAGCTTATGTTTAAACCATCGACCTTCCAACTATGATGATATATTATCGCAGATTTCTACCAGGACGGCGCTTTGTTAAAATGTCTATATTTATGGACTGATAAATGAGCCTGAACACATTGACCAGTGTGGTGATGTATGATCAAGCACCCCCACGACCTGCATGGCGTCCAGAGGCCGTCATCTAACAGTGGATTGACAGAGGAGTGCGCTGCTACTACATCACGATCACTGCGGTAACATTAAGAGCGTGTGTGTGACCCAGCGTCTCACTAGGTCACACACACGGCTCAACCCCCCCCCCCCCCCCCACGATCCTCCTCCCGCACAATGTGCCAACCGGACCCAGAACCGAGGCACTATGGGGCGGTATTGCTCTCATCCTCGTCACGGACCCACAACGGAAACGGATTAATCGAAAATCATTGCATAGAGGCCGCCGATCTGCTCGCCTCAAGACCATCCAATTCAAATGTCTACAATGGCACCCACCGTACTATTTGTACTCTTTTTATTTGACCTGGTAAGGCCCCACTGAGCTATGTAGCTATTTTTCAGAAGCGACCTGTCTATCATAAACGAGGTTGGCTTATCATCACGTTGACATTTATAGCAGCCAAATATTCTTAAACGCATGATTCTAAATGTGGAGGGAAAAACCGGTGGACCTGGAGAATGAAAATCCACACTGCCACGGGGAGAGAGAGAGAACATGAAACATCCACACATATACAGGCGTCAGGGTCGGGATCGAATCCATGACCTGTTGTATACCAGGGGAGGTTGTTAACATCTCGCCACCGTGGTGCCACCTTACAAACCAGAAACGAACCAAGTTCGACAACAACGCCTCATAATGTCACTCCAGATGCCCACAAGAAACCGACTCAATCACACAATCACGCATTCCGGTCCTGTCCAGACAAAAGCCGAATTTTACGCGACCATCACTAAACTTTACAACTAAATTAGTGCCCTATCAATAGCAACAACACTCCTAGGCATTGAAACCCCTGGGTATCTATGGGACCTTTTTGCCAGTATCAAAATTATGAGAGAGAAAAGTATAGAATTAAAAAGAATAGGTGTTACCGTTTCTGAAAATGAAACAGGTGTTTAGATGTTAAACACCAAATAGATGCATTTCGTGTGGTTAATGCAGACTTGATGCCCTGCGAAATGTATCTATTTGGCGTCTGGACATCTTAACACCTATTTTATTTTTCGATTTAAAGCTTTCGTGACTGCAGGGATTCATCTTCTTGGTTCTTTCGGTAAAGTCACGTAGAAGGTAAATAATAAAATAATAAAAAATAAATTTCGATTTAAAGCTTTCGTGACTGCAGGGATTCATCTTCTTGGTTCTTTCGGTAAAGTCACGTAGAAGGGAAGTAATAAAATAATACAAATATAACATAATAAAATAAAATAATTCTCACGACGTTTCGGCTACAACGCAAGCAGCCGCCTTCAGGTGAAGAATGAGACACTGCCAAGCTAGGAGCTTATATATAAGCTGGGTTGGAGGTGGAAGAAGAGCACCTTAACAAAAAGAATGTGCATATCAAGAGGAATTTAGCATATTCATGAGAAATGCGTAGGAGGTGGGCGAGGGGGTTTCAACGCAAGCAGCCGTCCTCAGGTGAAGAACAGGTCTGTCGGAAAGACAGCGTCTAAATGACAGACCTGTTCTCCACCTGAGGACGGCTGTTTGCGTTGTGGCCGAAACGTCATGAGAATTATTGTATTATGTTTTATTTGTATTATTTCCCTTCTACGTGAATTAACCTGTTTAATTGCCAGAAAAGGTGAAACCTATTCTTAACCCCCTGGGTATCTCAACATACCCAGCACGCCCTAACTCCAAACATACGCAGCAGCTCATTAAACTCTACTGAGTACTTGAAACGTCCACGAGCCCTCCTCACTGGTACCCTGGAACAACACCCGAGACCAGTTAGCCCCCCTGGATCAATCACCTGGCACACAAAATACAGGGACATGAGACAGATTTTGGTTATTTATTCATGAGTAACCACTCCAGGAATATTCCCCACTTTCCTTATAACATCACCCCCCAGATAATATAGGCAGCCCCACATCCTTTCACGTAACTTCACCCCTCCACCTTCCCTCCCTACCCGCCCCCTCCACGAGTTAAAGACAAATCCAACCAAGCCCTGCAGGGTCCCAACGAGAGAGACTCCGAGACGAGCGTTACTCGCGACGCGCGATGTTCATTGTCGGAGGTGCGTTCCACATTTTCCGAAAATGCGAAGCAAAAAAAAGAGGAAACGCGCAACAACGTAGAGGAGAGAGAGAGAGTCGTGTAAGCGCCGTGTCCGTGCATTGCTTGGTGACTCACACGCACGGGGTTACACGGCACGCCGCGGGGTGATTTTATACCGACAGATATCAACACAACCGCGGCGCTCGGCCGATGACTAAGCCCCGCTTACTGCGGTTTGGTGAACACGCAGGTTGAGCCCTTGCCAATGCGTCCCTCGTCACTGACCAACCCGCGCACGTAACACGCGACACGCGCACACAGACACAGACACCCATATAGCTGCAGGGGGCAAGTGGTGTTAGCGAGCACCTATTAAGGGCGGAATCGTATGTACTGTATGTGTGTTGAACTTCTTTCGCATCTGACGTAGCCAACCGCGCTAACCGGACGTGCGGGGGGAAGAACGACAAACTAAACGCAACAAGCAGTTCTAATGAAATTAGTTTTCAATCTAGATTTTAAAGTGCATATCTCCCAGTTGCTTCCTAATGGTGCACACGGTTAGCGGTGTGGTTATCAGCACCACAAACAAGAGTTTGATGTCTTCTTGGTTCTTTCGGTAAAGTCACGTAGAAGGGAAATAATAAAATAATAAAAATAAATATAATAAAATTAAAATAAAATTCCACGTTCATACACCGCACCAGTTGCTCATTTCACGCTGAGTCAACCCAACAATTTCCCAGAACTGGTTGCCCCTCATGTTACCCGTTGCCTATAAGCGAACTCGCACACAAGACACACAGAACAGGTACTTCGCATGATTTACGGAGCACTTTTGCAAAATGAGTGTCCAACAGTACAACACGCGTATACTGCACACGTACGTATATGCTATGTGCATACAAAATAGATATGTGTATATATACTGTACATATATGCTGATGAGCAGTATTTTTGTTTTACACCGTACATATAAGTTTACGAATGCGTTAAAAAGTTTGTTTTATTTTTATTTATTTGGGGACGCACTAATGATGAGACGTTCGACATTGGGTGGGAAACGCTTTGAGAGCGAAGATCTCTGGGGGTCAGTCCACGATGGTCATCACGTGGTTCATTTAAAGTGTTTTCGTTGAGCAGCACCACAAACAAGTGCTATGGAACTTTGAATAACGGTTGCTTTAGACAAGTACATGAAACAAAAAATGCTAAAATATTCCACACCTCCGTGAGACTTTGTTCAGTTGTTAAAAAGATATAATAATAAATTACGTGGTCGTTAAGAAGATGCAAAAATATACACTTACCGCCACGTTAGAATATTATACAATATGTGCATCAACAAAAGGAGGATATTAAACGCATTACATTTCTAGAGACATTAAAACATGAAGAAGCACCTTTGTTCTCGATACTCGCAACTAGAAAACAAAACAACTCCCCAACTCGGTTGGGTGCTGCGCGCCTCTCATCGCGAATAGTATCCACCCACCCACCCCTCCCTCCCCCTCCTCCTCCCCCCTCCGCCTCCCTCTCCCTTCCTACACACAGCATCCACCTTCATCCCCCCCCCGCCCCAAAAGAAGAAGTCTACACTTCGGGTCGCGCGCACGACGCACGCGCACGCACGCGACTCGCTCGCGTCCATTGGTCCCGCGCACGCGACCGGCGCGCGCCCCGCGTATAAAGCGCGCACGCGACTCCGCTTGGGCCACACAGCGCGCGCGCGCCAACCCCACAGCACGCGCGCACACACGCACGCACGTGTGCGTACCTACACACAGACACGCGCGCGCACGCCCCCAACCAGGTGCCACTAATCAGACACACAGTGGCACAAGGTCGCACAGAGACTCTCTGATCCGTGCACAAATATTAAGGGGGCACCATTGCGTGTGGGCGTGTGCGCGACAAACAATTGTCTGTTCAGAACTCGTACGACGGGCAGCATCTGTAATCTCTCCATAACTCGAATACTGCTTGTTTGACTGTGCAGCAAGACACAGAGAGAGAGAGAAGGAAACCTCATTTAGGGCTGCACCCTCATCTGAGCGCGACCCGCGTGTGGCCACCCCGTCTCTCTGGTCGTGATCCCCCCCGGCTGGCTGCATGCTGCTGCACCTGTGCGGCCTCGAGATGCTCACCGTGGCGAGGGAGGGCTTCCCGCCGTCGCCTCGAGAGTGGAGCGGCTCCGAGAGCAGCGGCCGCGACTCGTGGCTGCAGCAGGGGTCGCCGCCCTCCGCGGAGTCCGCGGAGCTGGAAGCAGACGGGTTCATGCTGATGGGCGCGGAGGGAGGAGGCAGCAGCGGCGGGTACTCGCCGCCAGCCTCGGGCAGAACGCGTCGAGAGCTCTTCAAAGGTACTCCCCTCCCCCCCTTCTCCTCTCTGCCGCTCTCCCGTCTCCCTCTACCTGTCCAACCCGAACTCTATCCGCCTCTAACCCTCGATCGGCCAGGCCACCTGAGTGGCGCACACCTGTTGATCACGCGCCTTTGATGTTGAAATTTAGCAAATGCCTCCTTTGAAAAGGAACACTTTTAATGTAGCTGACGATCATAAAAAGATACAATATACATTTCAAACCAACACATGAAATGTTCCTACCCTTCAAATGCCTCTGCATACCTTACATATGTAGCCTGGGGAAAAATAATCGTTTTAATAGTAATATCATGTAAATGTGGATTTCAGACTCAGTTATATCACTTCAGATGACAATAATTTTCCAAGGTCCAAATTAGGAACGTTCTTTAAACATCGGAAATGTGATGTGTGTAACAGAGCCATCAATTATCTTAGAAATATTTAATATCACGGTCAAATTTAGTACAATAAAGTTTAACCAAGCTTTGGTTCCTCTTGGTTATTGTATTAATCGTAGGATTCAAGATATTCAACAGATGACACTCCACTCGGGGTGTTGGGTCGAGTTCCAGTTGAGCACCGTGCACGCCATGTCTGCCAAGGGGGTTGTTTGGTCATACCATACTTTGCCACACCTAAGAATATGATTCCTTGCAGTCACGAAAGCTTCAAGTCTAGAATTAGGTGACAACGTTCTTAAGACTCGCCAATGATGTTAGTCGTCGCCTGGAATTGAACCCAGGTGGGTCGGTTTCATTGCGTGGTGAGCTAACCACAGCGCCCCGCTCCCCCCGCCTAGTTTTACATTACTTGGACGAACTGAGTGAAGGTAAAAACCAACGCTGTGCCCATCCCTGGTGAAACCTTACACCGTGAACAACCGCCAGAAAAACAGCGCCCTCCAGGGCCGATTTAAACCCAGCGGCGCTGATTATAAAAACAAACAGACAGCGAGTTGTAAAACAGCACGCGTGCGTCCCGACACCGCGGTGGCGTGAAATTGTTATTGCCCCTTAAACCTCTCGGCTGGCACAGCCCACGGCCCTCTACGCGTCAAGCGTAAAATCACTCGTCTTGTTTGCAGAACTCCAATGTTCGCGCGTGAGCTGTCTGATGTAGGGATTCCGCAAGTCTTTGCGTGCTTGATTCTTGAGATGTTCAAACTGATTTTGAATCGACTGCGCTGTGCGGCGACCCCTTAACGAAAGAGCTGGACAAAATCGCAAACAATTATGACGACGATGATTATATGAATCATCGTCGAGATATCGTGTAGAGTTGAGGCCGCGTGTTGCGCCACGACAGGCAACAGAAATTAGCAAGCCGTGTGTGTGCCTTTTGAATAAGACACTTTAATCGTGCTGGGCATACACCTGTATGTACATCATCATCATTCAGTAGTATTCTTATTTCTCGATCTTTTTATTTACCTAGCGACATGTAACGAGACATGTATATGTTCGGTATCGTCAATTTATTCGAATTCGTTACGGAGTAACTATCGGATAAGTGCTCGGATTAATAATGCACGCGATAGCGCCGGGTGTTGTGTGACACTGTGAGCAGGAGCGCGACTTCTCGTGTCAATGTCTGTAGAGCTCAATTGGGCCTCGAGCTTCTGCGTGGCTGAACTCGGCGTGCGGTGAAGCATTGCACGTGGCGTTGCACCACAAACATTTTCAGTCTCAGGAGTTCTACCCTGGTTTTAAATCAACACGTGAATGGCAACGTTACGTGGTTGCGTATATTCGGGTATTGCATGTTTGCCCACAAGTATGCAAATTTCCATATAACACTGTTCAGAATTAAAAAGAGAATTCATTCAAACAATTACGGAGATATCTAAGTGGTGCCAACGTTGTTGCGTGACCATTCACGTAGCGGTCGTCTTAAACGCACTTTGCCCAACGACCACGCGTAAATGGACGATTAGCCGCTAACAAATACAGACACCGATTGATTGTTGCCCTCGCCCTAAACCTAACTCCGTCGGCACAGCGCCGCTCCGCGCGAGCTCCCGCCTCTGCACCAGAGCCCTCAAACCAACGTCTGTCTCACGTCCCTCCTTCTCCCTCCCTCCCCCTGCTCTCCCCCAGCTCTCGGCGGTGGTGACGGCTCGCCCACGCCGAGCCCCGAGGAGCGGCCCCTGCAGGGCCTCGCGTTGCGCCCCGAGTTCAGGGGAGCCGCCGTGGACGTCTCCGCCGCGGCTCCCGTGGTCGTGCAGAAGCAACGGCGCCTCGCGGCGAACGCGCGCGAGCGGCGCCGCATGCACGGCCTCAACCACGCATTCGACCGCCTGCGGAACGTCATCCCCTCGTTCGCGGGCGACAAGAAACTCTCCAAGTACGAGACGCTGCAGATGGCGCAGATTTACATCGGCGCTCTCGCCGAGCTCCTCAAGGGGGAGGCGGCAGCCGCAGCGACGGTGACCGAGACCCACGGCGTGGGGTCCGGCTCCGCGAAGGCGGAAAGCGACGACAGCGAACGCGTCAAGGTGGAGCCCTGCCTCCCGCGGCAAGCCGAGGCGTGAGGTCGCGGGGGGCAGCAAAGGGGTGGGAGCGCGGATTGAACGCGTTCTAGTCATGCGTGGCTCTGGTCAACAATTCACGAGGACTCGAACGCACGCGCACACCCTCGTGCCAGAGGCAGTGCACATACTGTATATAGTGCATACTGTATGGCGAACGTGCGACTTGGGGCCAGCCAGATTCGCGTCGTCATGAAACGGCCGAAGCGATTCGTCTCATTGTTGGTTGGTGATGGAGACGTCGGCGCGTTTTCGCCAAAAAAACTCGGACGAAAAGGAACATCCGCCAACAACACGTGAATTGGGCCCTCTGTGTGTGTTTGTCCTCTCTATAAACGAGCCGATTGCACGCGTGTGTGCAGTCTGTGTATGAAGCACGCCGCTTTTACGCGCTAAATTGTCCGTGAGTGTGTGAATCAAAGACCGCCAATGGAACACGGCTCACGCACAATGTTGTTTAGAATGCGCGCATCGGATTGCGAAGAGTACATTTTGCGCATAGAATGGTCCCGTGAGATTAATGCCAGTAGAACTTGTCTTGCTATTAATACGCCCCAATAGAAGTCTCACAAGTTGTTGCCTTTTTATCATTTCATGAAAACAATCGAATGTTCTTCTTACAAAAACATGCGCCTTAAACAAACAAAACGCCCAAACAATTCTTGACATTTCACGTCTGTGGCGTCCGACAGCTGCAAATGTGATATTCGCTCAGAGAGGCGACAAGGGCTGCAGATGATCCTTGACCCGAATATTGCCATAGGAGCCTTGCTCGAGACGCGCGTGCGAGATGACGGCGCTGCGCGTCTGACAGCGCGCCTCCACGAAGGAGCCGCGACGAATGGGAATCGGAGCGCGCGAATTGCAAGGCTCGCGAGCGGACCCGCATGCTTTATGTACAATCCAAAGCGCTTTCAGTCCGACTTTAAGTCAAACATGTTTTCCAAGTCTATGAAATAATATGAATTCACTAATGTTGACCGTGCCACCTGTGCGAGTTTTGTATTTAAAAAAAAAGTTTGAGGTGGGCGAGTTGATTAGGGAAAGCGGGTGGGTGCGTTTTTGTCATGTTCTATACAACTTCGCTCTCCGTCATAAGTGAGTGGGTGGTTCGTTTCACTCGTGAGGGCTCACGCCGCCACGTGGCGGATGTCACTCAACGAAGCCAATCGACTAGTTGCGGACGAAGTCCGTTCAGGACAAAACCCCAACTGGCGAAGTCAAACACACGCAACCAATCCGAGGTGCACTTGCCACGCGAAGCGGAGAGGGCGCGTTGATCGCGAAGTGCATTCGGCAGACAGTTTTCGAGACTTGTCTTCAACGATGTCCATGCCGCGCTCTTGCGTTCCACTCATCAAGTCCACGAAGTGGCGTTTGTCGAGCACAGTACAGCACGTATCGAAACAAAGAATGCACTTTTTTCCATTGCGAGAGTGAAATAGACACACGTTAAAATTGGTTACAAGATAACACGTTAGAAATACTGCAATGACACAACACGACATTGTTGTTATTTCCATACGGTGCCTGGGTGCGTTTGTGTGCGTGCGTGTACACAGTGGGGAGCGGTAGTGTAGCGGTTAGCGCGCTGCGCTACGAACCTGGCGACCCGGGTTCGATTCCCGCTCACGGCCAAAATCAGTGACGATTATCTGAGCCGGTCCTGGGCCTCTCCCCTAGGTAGACTCAACCTCAAATGAGTACTTAGTGCGGTGTGCAAACATCGCCACTGGGGAGACAAAGGCGACCGGGCGTGGTGCTGGCCACCCCACCCCCCTCGTGTACCGTGCCGGCCTTCGTAGGTGCTCGCTAACAGCACTTGCCCCAACAGTTTGTTACAGACTTGTTTTTTGTACACAGTGTGTTGTGACGCGCGCACGTCGTGTCCACGGGTGCCTTGTGGGAGCCCCGCATCGCGGTCATGGCCAATGAAGTCGGCACCGCGACGCTCGGCGCTGTCACCGTACCACGTTTGCCGGTGCTCGTGAATCGAAGCGACTATTGTTGCGTTGGGCAAGGGTGACCGACGCGTTTCTCGAATATTTTTACGCAATTGTTTGTAATTTATAACTTATTTCTTTATATATATAATAATAAAAAAACAATGTCATTAAATGAACAATATTCGTAGATATTGTTGTGTAGCTACCAGAGAGGGCTGTCACTCACGCATCCTACGATCACATACACAGGGCGCTGTGAACCTGGTCAACTGAGTTCGATTCCTGGCCACGGCTATATGAGCGGTGAGTGAAATCCGAGCCGCTCCAGTCCTCACACCACCCACCTTCAGCCATCCTGCAATGGCCAGCGTGGTGAAGTATGGTCAAACAACTCCCTTCACCGACACTGTATGGGGAGGCCTTCAAGTATTATTATTATATATTATCACGCAGCTACATATGGGGACACTGCGTGCATATAATACGCACGCACACGTCGAGCTGGCGTGCAAATCGTTTCACGCACGTGCACACGAGCCGTTTAGTCCAAGTACTGGACACTTATCATTCGGTTGTCATACATATCTTATAGAAACCCAATAGGCGCCCACATCCCGAGTCAGTGGACACTGAATTAGTTGGGCACGCCCGACTAGTTACCGAATGGAGGTCCGCATTGATGGGGGCTGAACACTAAGAGCCGCCTTGTTATTGCGTGTGCGTGTGTGGCGTGGTGCTGCAAAGCGCACGGCGTGTGGTGGGTGGTTGCACGGGTGACTGGCTGGGTGGTGAGCGGCTAGGGGGATGGATGGTGAGTGGCTGGATGGTTGGGAGACTGGATGGATGATTAGCTGGGTGGTGAGTGGGTGAATGGATGGATGTCTGGCTCTTTGACGAGTGGCTGGGTAGATGGATGGGTGTGCTAGGTGGCTGGGTGGCTTATAGCCTGCATGGCTGTGACTTTAATGCCTGGGTAGTTGTGCCTGTAAGTAGCTGGAAGGAGGCTGAGTGGCTTGGAGTTTCTGTTGCTTGTGTGGCTGGGGGAAGAGTCGGGGCTATAATGTGACTACCACGCGACCCCCCATCTTTTTGTGCGGCTCCGCGAAGCTCCGATTCCAATTCAGCTGGGCGCTCAATGGTCCCTGTTTAAAACAACTCTTTCAAAAGTTTAACAAAACGCGGGGAGCATTGTGGCCGCGAATGGGAGTTGGTATCGCGTTTGATCTGCCGCCTGAAATGAACACTTCCCGGCACCCCTCGAATGCGCGTTGGTTCTGGCCATGCTCACAGTAAACTGCGGCGGAGGACGGGACGATTGCCGATTATTAGGGGAGAAGGGAGGAGGTCTGAACAGGAATTTGGCTCGAGTTGAATTCGCCGCTCGTGCCATCTCTCGTTTGTGTCGAGGGATCGTGTTTACACAACGCAAGGGACGAGGAACCCGCGTGGAGATGCGGGCAGAAGAGGTCATCGCCGTCAGAAGAGATCGCCAGCGTCCCACACATGGGGCTGTCTCCGCTCTCGTCAAGGACATGTCTCATGATTCCAAGTTTGAGATCGACATCATCATCCACCGCTGGATGAAGAACTCCCAACACCCCCCACCGTCACCACGGTCCTACGATGCCACAGTTCCGTCTCTGTGCATGATAAGCAAATATAATCTCTGCATCTTAGCGGTTTTGTCTGTCATTCCATCACAAGTCTCGTCCATCAGCTATCATCGCTGCTCGCGATGTCTCCTGCCGAAGCCCACCTTCTGTCCTTAAGCAAAAATGAAGTTGTCCGATTTGCCTTCTCTCCGATCCACGCGTTCCTCATTTGCTCGGTGCAATTTCCGTCTGCACGTTGCGTTGCACACTCTTCGGCGTCTGTTGCAGTCTTTGCGGGTTTCCATGGCGTGTGATCCACACGCGAAATCAGCGGACAAGGATCACAAAACACTCACGAAGAAAACGAAACAACGGCTGAAACGTAGACTACCAATGGGAATAATAACATTGTGCAAACGTAAATCAACAACTTCATTTTAATTACGCTGCATTGTTAGGGCCAAACGACCAGTGATACTTGTCGCCAGCGAAAGTATACCTATGATTTAGGCGCATAGCCTACGATCAGGGTCATTAATACTTTTGAGAAAAATTACTTATGCTGTACGAACAACAAATAATCAGAATCTGTATTTATCCGGCCTGATATACACATTTAAAACACAGGCCCAAAGGTCGAAAACTTCAAACGGCCATGCACTGTCGACTTTGTAATCTTTAGGAGTGCACGCGCTTCTTCAAGTGAGCCAGGTTTACGAGATTAAGAAAAAGAGAAGATGGGGGAGGGAATTGCAAAGTAGCGCAGCGCAAGAGAAGAAGCAGAAAGGGAAAAGTGATTAACTGTTGCGAAACGATGTTTTATTTTTTGCAGGTAAGGCCGACTTAGCAATTTAGCTCTTTTTCAGAAGCTACCTGCCCACGAATACTAATTCAGCGAAGTGGCTTATCACGTGGAAATGTATAGCGGCCAAATTCTCTAAACGCATGTTTCTAAATGTGGAGGGGAAAACCGGAGGAACCCGGACGAAAATCCACGCGACCACGGGGAGAACATGCAAACTACAAATATACAGGTATTGTCAGTGTCGGGATCGAACCCATGACCACCTGTATACCAGGCGAGGTAGTTAACATTTCACCACCGTGGCGGCCCCGATGACCTACAGAGAGGTGTTTTAACTAATGATGTATCTCACAGACATAGTGTGCAAACTGGCTGTGCCCAGGGTTTGCCTATTTTGAATTTGAGGCGTTGCTAATGAGAGAAATGGACTAAAGTTAGGTGAATACACCATTCATCCATATGTATCTGCATATATACACATTACGCAAAGACAAACACGTACACATCTATACAGACACACACTACATACATATCTACCCAGACGTTCTACACACAATGCATACATACATACACATGCATATCAACACAAACGTACGTCACATACACACAATGCATACGTACATAAATACATATGTACACATACATACGTTATACACACACAATGCATACGTATATACAAACATACACACATACATATGTACACATACACAGTATCGAGGTCCACGGCCGCGAGTTACACGCGGAGGGCGTGGGTTGGAGATGAATCTCAGTGACAGCATCTTAAATGCGTCGCCCCGAACCACGGCTTCGCCGAACATCAAACACGGGGCAGGAAACTCGAGACGGCGCCACTTAGGCCCGGGATGTTGGAGCCCGGCACGGCGCGCGATGCTGCGGGGCTGCCCGGCCAGGGCGACAAGCAGCGCGAGTAGCGAGCAGCAACTACGAAGCGGCAGACTTCAGATATCAGCACATGACAAAAATCTTCCACCGCTATTGCCCGCGAACTATGTTGCCACGATCGTTGCAGAAGGCTGCGACTTCTAGTCTTGATCGGGGAATTGAATGAGCCCCATGATCCCTCCCTCCAGGGCCGTTAAAATTAATCCCGCCCCTGCCATAGGAATGTGGAATATCCACCTCTTGCTCAGAGTTGTGAACATGAGATCATCTCCAATGCCTCAATACTCATTATTGCAGGAAATCGTTCAGAATTGTTTTAGTAACGGAGTAATGGGAAGCTATATCTTCCTCTATGTTGGCCTGCACATTTGTGGTTTGCGTGTTCTCCCCCATGGTTGCGTGGATTTTTCTCCGGGTCCTCCGGTTTTCCCTTCCACATTTGGGAACCAACGTGCGTTTAAAGTATTTGGCTGCTATCAATTTCCACGTAATAAGCCACTTCGCTTCTGAAAAATAGTCATACAGCTCAGTGCGCCGTACCTGTTAAAATAAAACAGTGTATCAGTTTAACACGAAGCAGGCTTTCGCGACCAATAGCATCCATAATAGAGGTTTTTTTGAGGTTAGTACGCGTAAATATATAAATGTGTCGTTAAAACCCGCCTCCACCCGTCATAGCCAACTAGTAAGGGTTGTCACGTAAACAGAATGTGGCCAATTCGTTACTAGTACAGCACACTGGTGTGTTGGAGAGCCAAGCCACAACATTTACAATCTGAGCACGACGTTTAGCCAGTAATTACAACTAGCTTCATCAGGCGACAGCCAGATTTGTGGAGAAAATTGTAAATAATGCGACGATGCGAATTAGTTGGTCACGTTTGTGATATCTCCTCGCTAACGTGGTGGGGGTTTCTCTCGGCTCGGCAAGTTTTCCTCCCACGCGAAACAAAACACTCACGAAGAGCTCAACCCAACATCCCACTGCAGGATCCTCGTGAAAAAGCACTTTCTTTTGACACGGTGAAGCTTTCCTGGATCAACAAATGCCACCGATATTTAATGAGCGCAATATCCTTGACTCCCATAAGTCTACGGTGCGATTGTCTCGACTGGATGCTGTTTGATTGGTTTAAAGGGTCGTTCGGCACGCGTCCAACGCAGAACTCTCAACTCAGTTAAACGCACTCGTATGAGCATGCCATTGGCAGCGATACACAAGCGCAAACATGGAAAACCCACAACAACCAATAATATGAATGCCTTCAGAGGCGATATATAACATCGAATGAGCGTATTTAAAGCACCTGTCACAGTGCGCGTTTAAACGCCACAATGAAAGGCATCACAATCCCGGTTAAAATAGTGAAGCTTCGATATATTTACAGTTTCACGCTGTGCATGACTCTATCAAAGTTGTGTCTTAATAGCAAACCGCACAAATTCCATCGAGGACAACAAAGTGTTTGAGCCGACTGCCGGAAAGTCCTCGTGGTGCAGTCTGAATGAATGCCACAAAGAGCGTAGCAACGCGAGTGAGATGAGCGAGGCTCTCGTTGAATGTTCCCGGTCGCTAAGCGCTCGCACCAAGCACTCACAACTCTCCCCTCCTCTTCACGGCTACATCTTTGTGATGATGCCAGACGCTGCGATCCCAACGCAGCTCCCATCTTGTAGATACACACCGAGGCTGCGTGTGTCGTGCTGTCCGACACGAATTTTATGTTCAGTTAATACCGACATTAACAAACAAACAAAACCCTTTAAAGTGACTTCCAGATGCAGTGAAGT